TTGTTTATTGATTGATCACATAAATTGCGGTATTCAAACTCAGAGCTAAAATGACTTGCATGTTTAATCATCTATATTAGAATTAAAAAGTGACTTGTTATTGTTGAATTCGTAAAATATTTTTAATTCAGCATAAAATGCCTATTCACCCCCTTTAGGTATTGTTAGGGTCGAATTGCGTAACTTTCAATTTGAAAAGCTATAGGCATTGAACTAGGAGAACAGTATGCAAAAAGAGGACGACCACGCTAATCTTATTCAGTATTAAGGTTTTTTCAAGCAAAGCAATCGAATGATTAATAGGTAATAAGCTATGGTTCATAACAGCTTTGCACACGGGGATCAACTATCAATATAAATTACAAATGTATGCAAGTATTTCATTCTGTCACAGAAAATCTTCTACAAAACATACAAGGAGCAATCTGAAAGGGGCATGACCTAAAATTTATAACGATGGAGAGCTATCATAAAGAGATTGAAAAGTGATCATACTGAAACGTGAAGTGGAAAATAAGGTTCCAGCTACTATAAAGGAGAATATCAGGATCTGAGTTTGAACTTTGGTGGATAGAGGAGAATCCAGACAAGGTATAGAGACACTAAAAATTAAGTGCTTCACAATTTTTCAGAATTATCCTCAACTCTAGACCAAAAATTGACCTTTAACTTCTCAAAGAATCCTATACTGCTATAAGGTTTTCTCATCTGACGCTCAATCACAATCTAGGTTCAAAATCCAGCCTCTGTGGTATTTCAATTAATACTAGATTAAACCAAAGAAACCTGCATCAAGCTAACTCTCAAGAATGACAAGTGAAAACCCGACTATAAATATCCCAAATCACTAAAATGGATCCATCTGATGGGCAGCAAAAAATCACCCAAGAAGTCGGGACATGGTCAATCAGAAACTATTACCGTCGCCAATGACCTCAATTTATCAACAGAAACATACTGCCCAAAACCCACTTCGAAGATCAACTTCTCCTAAAATTCTTCACTGTAACCAATATTTTAGCTTCAAGCATTTGAGCTATGGTAGCTTTCATGGCAAAAAGAAACCTTTTTTGGTTCTCCTTTTCAATTTAAAACAAAATCCTCTTTCTTGTCAAACAACAAATCATGTAACTATCAAAGTGAGTAAATGGGCAAGATTTAACCTTCAATGAAGCCTGAAAACTGGGTCAAGAAAGCATTGATCTGGTCCCTATAGATGTAACCCACAGTCCCGAACCCACCAACGACTCCAACAAGCAAAAGTCCAGCCAAGATTGTGCCTTTAACAGCAGTGTCACCAACTGTGGTGTCCCCATCAGTATTGTCATCATTTTCACCTTTTGGGTTCAAATTCAAGAACCTCCTGATGCTTTGAGGTGCATTGCTGGGAGTTTTTGAAAGGGTCTGCTGTTTCTTGGTTTCTCTGAGTGAAGAGCATGTCTTCAGAAAATGGAAGCGCTTGGGCTTGAAACTGAAGAGTGAGAAGTGAAAGTTTGATCTTTGTTGGAGTTCCGATGAGCAGGAGGAGGAGAGGCTGAGGCAAAGTGGAATTGGTGGTGGAGTTTTAATTAAAGGAATGGTGGGCATTTTTTGTTTGAAGTGTTGGACTCAGTTTTGATGAAAAAGAAGCTACTCAAGGCTGTTTCGATTGTGCCATGAAGATTGTAGAATCTACTGTTAGTATTCAATAATTCTTGTTATATTTCTGATTTGAGGGAGTAACGAAGAGGAACTGACCGTAGAATCCACAAGGACAGGGATAATTGTGCTTCATATTGCAGCACGTGTAGATGTAACTCATATCTTCTTCTTCCTTCCATTTCCTTGGATTGATTATATTTTTCATTGAAAAATTGCATCATTAGTCCCCAAAGATTGGGCATTTTGATCTTATAACTTTCAATATGGAAATTCAAAATTTCAATGCCTCGTGTGTTCCTTTGTCAACGGTCTAAACCATGAACAAAAAATTGAGAGAGTTGTAGTGACGGTCCCAATTTTTTTTTCTTTTTGCAGGCTTTACTCAAATCTTTAGTTTATGACAATCATAGTCTAAATATTTTTTTCATTGCATATGGAGGACAAATGGACAGATTCCGTTCATTTGATCGTTAATTGACTGAGAAAATATATTTTAACCAAGTTATTAATATTTTAAAAATTATAAAAATGATAATTTTTGTATTTTTCATATTAAACAATTAAAATAATCACATTAAAAAAAGAAACCAAAAAAAGAATTTATCTTCTTCCCAACCCTACCGGAACTATGAGAGAAAGGTGGTGCTCTCCGATACACTCTACCAGAACCAGGTGAAAGAAGTTTTCAACATTTTAAATCTTGTTCGTCCGTTTCCTTGAATTGATTATATTTTTCATTGAAAAATTGTAGCATTACTCCCAAAAGATTGGGCATTTTGATCTTATAATTTTCAATATGGAAATTCAAATTTTCAATCTTTCGATTTTGTAATAGGCGTATTCCTTTGTCAACTTAAAGGGTCTAAACTACGAATAAAAAATTGGAAGAATTGCAATCATAATCACAAACTTTTCTTCTTCTTTTTTTCACAGGCTTTACTCAAACCTTTAATTTGTGTCATCACAGTCTCAAATATTTTATTTTATTGCATTTGGAAGACAAATCTTTGACCGTTAGTTAATTAAAAAATGTATTTTAACCAAGTTTTTAATATTTTAAAAATAGAAAAATAATAACTTTGTATTTTTTGCATAATAAACAATTGAAAAATTTTATAAATTTTTTTTTTTAAAAAAAGAAGAATTATCTTGCTCCTAACCCTACCAGAACCATGAGAAAAGTAGTGCTCTCTAGTATACTACTAGATCCAGGTGAAAGAAGTTTTCAACATCTTAAATCTTGTTCGTCCATTTTCTTAGATTGATTATATTTTTCATTGAAAAATTGCAGCATTAGTCCCAAAAGATTGGGCATTTTGATCTTATAATTTTCAATATGGAAACTCAAATTTTCGATCTTTCGGTTTTGTAACAAGTGTGTTCCTTTGTCAACTTGAAGGGTCTAAACTATGAATATAAAATTGGGAGAACTACAGTCAATTTCAAACTTTTCTTTCTTTTTTTAACAGACTTTACACGAACCTTTAGTTTGCGCCACCACAATCTCAAATATTTTATTTCATTTCATCTGGGGGGTCAATGGACGTATTTTATTCATTTGACCGTTAGTTGATCAAGAAAATATTTCTTGACCATTTTTTTAATATTTTAAAAATGGAAAAATAATAATTTTTTATTTTTTATATTAAGAAATTAAAATAATTACACAACAAAATAAAAGAAAATGAAATTATCTTCTTCCAAACCTAGAGGTGTCAATGGGCCGAGCCGGCCCACATGAGCTCGGCTCGTGCGAGCTCGTGGCTCGTTGCCAACGAGCTTGGTTTTTGGGCGAGCACGGCTCGTACCAGAGCTCACCCAAAACGAGCCGTTCGGCTCCTCATTTTGACGATTTTTTTTTAATAATACTATAACTAAACCTTAAATTCAAAAAACATATATATACACATTTTCTATTTTTTTTTTAAATATACATTTTCCAAAAGATTTATAATTTTTAAAATAATAAGAATAAAATT